GGCGGGTGCCTTGCGGGTGGCGCCGAGTCAGGCCGGTGGGCCCGCCCGGCCCTCCATCACCTGCCGCAGCCGTTGGCTTGCGGTTTCTTCCCGGGCCTTTTCCCTCCTTGGTCCCCGCCGGTCTCGGCCTGGCTTTCTTTCCGCCTGCCCTCGCCTTCGGTGCCAGGGCGTGTGCGTGGAGGGCGGTTGGCAAGAAAGAGGCCCCGCCGCCGGCAGCAGTTGGCCTGCCTGGCGTGCTTCTCGCCGGCCCCGCCGGGTGACTTTGAGGCTGTTTGTTTTAGTTACGTTAGGCAGCCGGGTGAACTGTGCTTGCTCTCTCGCTCGCTCGCTTGCCTGCTCGCTCTCTCGGAGCTGTTCCGGCGGTCCAGGCTGGGCTGGAGAGGAAAAGCTGAGCCTTGGCCGAAGTCTTAAAAAGTCGGGGCCTGTCGACCTGGCGTTGCGTTGAACGTACCGAAGAATGAGGGCCGAAGTGGGGACTGGTTCGAGTGGGGACGAAGGAAACCAGAGTTCAGATTTCGTCCCGGCTATGAAAACTCCCCCGGTGACCCTGGGCCACTCATAGGTTCTCTCAGCCTGACCAGTTTTACAGTGTTGGCCTGATGTGGGGGGTCAAGTCGGGACGCGGAAAGCCCCAGGCGCCGCCTTGAGTTCCTGGGAGGAAAGACAGGACACCAAAATGGAACAAATAATGATTTAAAACGAACGAACGAACGAACGACCTTAGTTTGCTGAATCAGAGCAAAGGATGTGGCTACCTGTTTCCAACTCCTTCTGTCTCCAACTCCCTGTGGCCTACTGGCGACCCATCCTTCTCAGTGATCAAAGATATGCTCTTCCCGAAGTGGAGGTTCCCTGCAGATGTCACTAGAAATTCCCGTTCAAATGCAGAACCGAAGAAACATTGCGTGCCGTTAAAATCATCAGGGGAAAGAGCGCTGAACAATTTCATTATCATGTCTGAAATGCGCTCAAGTTCCGTTAATTTAAGCTGCTTTTCCAAAGTCTTTTTTTTTTTTTTTTTTTTTTTTGGAAAAATGGTTGTGGTTATGGGCGGGGCAGGGTCGCGCCCTGTTCCTCTGCTGCAACAAAGAGGCACCCTGGCGACGAGCAATCCCCAAGCAGGTGTAGCAACAGGTGGCCCCTGGTCTGAGCGGAGAGGGGCGCCTCAAATCCCCACCCCCCAAATTTCTGGATGAAGTGCCGCGCCTGCTCTGACCAGGAACCATCGCGTAATAATAATGTGCTAGTCTCTAAACTGCCATAAGCTCCTCTGTTTTCGGTGGGATTAGTATTAGATGCCACTTGCTAAAGTTCTCTTTCATCAGAGCCAAACCTGGCGGTTGAGTCCGTGAGTGCTTCTGTTTCATTTCTAAAGGGAGACGCCAGGAATAAAGCAAGATCTCTCCCCACCCGCCGGACCATTCCGCCCAAGCCTCAAAACGCGTAGGATCTCACTCTATAGTGGTCTCGTTAAAATCAATGGAACGTTCCATTGATTTTAACGAGACGCTTGCGCAGTAAGATCCTAAGAGCTTCGGTGGGGCTTAATTCGACTATGTCTGTACAGGATTGCGACTTTTTGCCGATTTGACTGCTTTGCTTTCTCTCTCTCTCTCTCTCGTTTTCTTTTTGACCGGTTTGCACTTTTATGTGTTGTGGCTTAAACCCTGTCCCTCACCTGGTGGGAGAGAAATGCATGGCACGAGGATCATCGTCAAGAGGACGGACCATCTTCCCCCACTCATCAGACAACAACTGGAACAAGTGTAAAAACCGCAATCCAATCCCTTTTTTTGGTTGGGATGAACGGTGGGATTGCTAAACCAGGTCAGCAGGGAACTAGGAGGTCCAGATTCGCAGAGCGTGGAGGTGGCCATGGGGCCGAGGGAGGGGAGGGAGTCTCAGTGCCGGAGGCGTCGAAGGACGGGTGCCTTAGGCCAAGCGCAGGGCTAGCCGGTGTCTGGGCGAGGAGATCCCGAGGAGGGAGCTGATTATTTAAATCGCTTGACGAGGATCTGGGGATTGGAGGCTCGCTCGGCCGCCGGCTGCTATAATCACTCCAGCGCCCACGTCACTGCACCACTTTGCTTCCTCCTCCTCCCTCTCCCTCCCTCTCTCCCTCCCTTCCTCCCCAGCGCCCACGTCACTGCACCACTGTGCCTCCAGTTGACTCTTCACTGCGAAACCCACCCAAGCAGTAGTAGTAGCCACGGCGGCGGCAGCAATCCACAGCAGGGACAAGTCCCAAAGCAGAGCGAGCCCCCTCCCCCATCACACATATAGAGGGAGGGAAAGAAGGAGGGAGGAGGGAGGGAGACAGGCAAGCAGGCAAGCAAGCAAGCAAGGAGGGAGGGCAACGGAGGGGGGGTGTTTTCCTCTCTCTCTCTCTCTCTTCCTCGCTGGCTCGCTCTTTTTTTTTTTTTTTTTTTTGGGTTGCTCCCGCGCTCTCTCGCTCGCTCGCTCGCTCTCCCTCTGTCGTCGCTTGTTGTGGCTGTTAAATTTTAAACTGCCATGCACTCCGCTTCCAGTATGCTGGGAGTCGTGAAAATGGAAGGACACGAGCACACGGAGTGGAGCAACTACTACGGCGAGCCGGAGGTAAATGGCAACTTCTGCCTGTTTGCGCGCGCGCGTGTATGTGTGTGCGTGTGGGTGTCTTTCTCTCTCTCTCTCTCTCTCTCTGTTTGTGTGTGGGTCCCCCACCCAATCCCCAAGCCTCCTCCTCCTACTAAAAAACAGAACTCCCTCTCCCTCTTCTCTCTCTCTCTCCCTCTTTTTATACAACACTGTGTTAGCCTTGAGATAATATTAACTTTGTGATCAAATATTGACTTGCGAAGCCTCCAAATCCTTTTGCCATGCCTAGCCGCGCTATCCTAACAAAGTTGTGTTTGGCAGAGAGAGGTTGTGGGGGGGGGGAGAGAAAGGGCGTTGTGTGTGTGTGTGTGTTGGGAGGTATAAGGAACCAGAGGAAGGGGGGGACATATATTGCTCCAAATCTCATGCGGAGAAGGCTCCCCGTAGAAAGAAAAGGAAACCCAGTTCTGAGCAACGATTCTTCCTGGAGAAACTCTAGTGTACCTTGAGCAAAACTTTGTCCAGAACCGAAGAAGTTTCCAGGGTTGTCGTGTGCCCGAGGAAACTGTGTAAAACTGGGACACTTTTTTCCTGGAACCAACTGGGTTTAAGTTGCCTCTTGGAACCCCCGTAAATGCCACCCCTTTTTACGACTACATTTAAACCCATTCCCTGGCAAAGAGCCCCACGTCTACCGAGGCGCCGGCTCTCAGTAATTTCTTTACCGTGCTGAGAAACACAGTCGCACACAAACCGGCGTGGCTCATCCCAAAGAAACGGACAGGAATCCGATTTAAAAAATCAAATCCTCAAAATTGTGTGTGTCAAATCAATAGAAAACTTTTTGTTGACGTTTAAGGATCGGAGAGCTCGTGGGTTAGCAACTATATAATACACACCGGTTACTTGGGAGGAGTTGAGCTGAGATTCGGTTGGAAACCGACAGGAATCGTTGGATGTGGTTTGCGTCGCTTCGGCAGCAAGCTTAAGCACAGTTGCCAGAGAGGAAGTCCGATTGAGCTCCGCGGCCCCCGCTTCCAAGGAAGAATATAGAAATTTGGGGTACGCTGTCCTGGAAAGGGCGCGCTGTAGCGATCGGACTTGCTTCGCCATAAATCTCTTTGGGTGAGAAGCATCCATTGTACACGAATGCAGATTTTTAAAATGATCTCGCCGTTAGCGAGGAATGAGATTTTAAATTTCACCCCATTCCCCCCACCCCCATCACAATAATATATTTTTTAAGATAGGCAAAGTCCCATTAAAAAACGGAGGAAGGAGGATCGAGGGGAACCGAGAACTAGGTTGCGACTGGCGACAGAGTTCTGGGGATTCAACAGTGGACACCCTTTCTTTCTTTCTTTCTTTCTTTCTTTCTTTCTTTCTTTCTTTCTTTCTTTCTTTCTTTCTTTCTTTCTTTCTTTCTTTCTTTCTTTCTTTCTTTCTTTCTTTCTTTTTTCCCTTCCCTTCCTTTCCTTTCCTTTCTTTTTCCTTTCCTTTCTTTTTTCTTTCGCAAGTGAGCACTTTTGCTGGAGCGAGGGTTGCAATCCCTGAACCCTATGGGTGCTTTTGATAGCTGAAAGGGAAGGGGGGGCGATGCTTTCCCGAGGGTGCCAATTCTGGCGACGTCTGTGGTACCTCTTCCGACGTCTTAAGCACCTGCTCTCCCCGGGAAAGCCAAAGTACCCACAAGGGCATGGATCGTGTCCAGGCAACCGTGGGACTTCCTCCCAGCATTGCCGTGGGATTGGCTTGGCACGTCCTCCTCGGGAGCCAGTTTCTCGAGGATCCGTGCGGTGCGGGGCTAGGCTGGCGGTGGGGAAGCGGAAGGTTCAGGGCGGGCGACCCACGGGCAAAGGGCCCCCACTAACGGCCGCACTGCCTCCGTTTTGTCGCCCCCCCCCTCTCTCTCAGGGCTACTCCACCATGAACGCGGCCGGGCTGGGCATGAACAGCTACATGGGCATGCCGGGCATGGGCACGGCCGGCAACATGACGACGGTGGCCTCTGGCGGCTCCATGGGGATGTCTTACGCGGCCGGCCCGGCGAGCATGACCCTCTCCCCGGGCGCAGGGGCCATGGCCGGCATGGCGGCCCACCTGAGCCCCAGCCTCAGCCCGCTGGGCGCCCAGGCTGGTTCCATGGGCGGCGCGCTGGGCGCTTACTCGGCCCTGAGCCCCGTCGGGGGCGGCGGCGGGGGCGGGCATTTTGGCACTTGG